ATAAAAATAGAATGAATTAAAATTATGTCGACACATCATAAAAATTGTATGAATTAAAATTATGTCGAGGACATCATAAAAATTGTATGAATTAAAATTATGTCGAGACATCATAAAAATTGGATGAATTAAAATTATGTCAAGACATCATAAAAATTTGGAATTATTTTTACGTATCGACATAATTTTAATTCATACAATTTTTATGATGTCTCGGCATAATTTTAATTCATTAAATTAAAATTATGTCAAACATAATAAAAATTGGATGTATTAAAATTATGTCGGGACATGATAAAAATTCGAAATTAAATTTATATTTTATATATGCCCAGACATAATTTTAATTCGTGAAATTAAAATTATGTCGGGACATAAAAATAATTTTGAATTTTTATTATGTCCCGACATAATTGTAATTCATCCAATTATTATTATGTTCGACATAATATAAAATCATTAGTAAGAATCGCTATTTTTCTTAAGACAATTATTTTTGGAAACTTTTATATTATGTAGAATATTATTTATGCTATTAAAAAGTAAAACGGCGTTCCATACATTTCAATGCAACTATATACTCAGCTTTCTCAAGTATTCATCTGTCACAATAGAACCTTAGCATTAAAAGAAAATATAATTTAGTAATACTGTTGAAAAAATACAAGCCTTGGTGTTACAGGAGATTTCAACTTTTTAATGACAATATGCCGTGCAAGCCAGCTGTACCACCCGAGCTGGCCATCCAAACCATCAAGAACTTCATGCAATACTGTGATCCGCTACCCGCCTGGTCACACAAGGCATGGAAGGATATGTCTACTGCATTAGGCAATAAATGGAGTTATCAGACTTGGGTCAATGTGTACTACGATAGAAATTCCATTCTGAGTATTGCCAGAAACGAAATGGGCATAGTTGTTCCACCGAAACTTGATCAAAACAATAATTCTGGTTTGGAAGAATCTATTATTAGCAATAGAAAATCTGATGACGATGCATCCTTTGAGTTATCTTTTGAATTGAAGAATAACGAAAAAAAAACTGGATACGTTTGATTTGGTCCTAACCGAGCAACAGTGGAACGAGATGAAGTCCGATATTATCTTGTCAAAAATTAAGGCGAGTTCTGGAAGATCGAAACTAAAACTGAAACCAGGGGTATGGACAATCGAGATTTCAATCTCGTTTTGGCAACAATTTCGACTACCTTGCGCGTTTGTTTTTAAACGAGCCGAAGTATATCTTTCCCCAGACGATACGACATATACGATCAAAATAATTGGATCATGCAAAAGCAAAGTTTGTGGAAACACTTTTTGAGGTGACGCAGAAAAACAAACCGGTGTTAAGGGTTTAACAATTCAAATTAAAACTCAAGAGACTCGGTTTGAAAATCACGAGTTAGTTATCTTGAACGGCCAACGACGAAAACAAGTACAGAAAGAGCTAAAAGCAGGGTGTTCTGTGTGGCGGAAAAAATATGCAAGGGAAAATATGCGATTTGGTGAAACCAAACCTCCATTGTTGCCTAGTGGTAATGTATGCCGACAAGCACGAATAGAAGGAATCAACGCAGAACTAGAAGTAAAAAAAGAAGATGGGCGAGATCTCATTCGAACGATAGAGGAAATGGCATTGAATCCCGAATATGCTGGTTTCATATACAATGTCGGATCGCTGCCGTTCCATGTTTCGTATATAGTACTCCTGCTCAATTATATACTGCAACCCGATTTCCCTCGGTCTCGCTGGCCGAAGGGGCGCGGCTGCAAATTAATCCGCTGATTGCCGGACGATAGCTCCAAGAGGATGACGAGTCACATCTCTTACCGTAATTCCCGTATCTGAGGTCTTGGGCGATACCTTTCGATTGGGCGCCAGGTGCGATTATAGACGCGCACCACGTCTCGATAACGTCCGCCTCCCTAGCCTCGTCGCGAGCTCAGGGCGTAGTTCCGCGTGATAGGGGTGAAGGTGGAAAAGGAGCGTGACGCAAGCTACACACAAAATAAAGCTCGACGATAAACGATATTAATCAGATATATTTCACATAAAAAACAAGTAGATCGTAGTGGAAAACCCAGGCCGGATATCGCTCGAATGGCCAGTACTAACGCGGTAATCGGATCCGCAGTTAAAGCACGCGCGGAGTGCGTGATGTTCACGCCCGCGAGACTCCCTTCGCGAACGAAGCTCTCAAGCGAGCCCAGCAATCTCGATTTGTATAAGCGCGACCACGCGATAACGCCAATCCGCCCGCGCCTTAATCCCCGAATCCCGAACGCACTGCGACTCTCACACGCACGACATAAACGATTCTCATACGCCTGACATAAACGACTCTTTTACGCTCGACATAAACGATTCTCACACGCACGACACAATGCCCGTAACGCGAGCCCACAAGTACGCAACGCTATGTAATGGCGCGCTCGCGAGATTCTTCCTTGAGCAAGCGCGACGATATTTGCTCGCGCACGCGATATAAAATATCCGCGGAGCTCGTAATGCACCACCAGGCGCCCGGCGCAATTCCTCCCGACACGCACACGGGACTCCCGCACACGACACGCAACAATATACCCGAATACGCAACACTAAGTACAACATCCACCGTAACGTACCGCCCGCGGCACGCTTCCGTCCACGATTCACAAAACACGCACGGCGATAACCGCGAATTGACTGCCGATCATACGCAAGCTTTCGAGTAGGGCTTTCAGAAATGTTCCTGGCTACGATCTCGGCCGGCCACGCGCCCGCGGTCCCGACAAATAGCCGCGATAATCTCCCCGGCATCCACAACGGCGGGAGCCGGTATCTAAATGCGACACGTAATCAGGCCGATTCACACGGTAATCTAATCGATACGTACATTTACTGGCGCCGGGTTGCGACCAAGATCGAGCCCTCAATTATTAGGCAGCACCGGAGCGGAGATCTTACAGTTAGGCTGCTCGCTGCGGCTCGGCGGCGTCGGGGCGCTCGTCCAGGGGTGGCTCCTCGTCCGCGGCTAGATCGACAGTAAGGAGCGGTCGGCTCGGCGGGACCACCCCGGACCCCCGCACGCGCGCCCTCAAGCTCGCGGTTCTTCCGCCCCGCCGATTGGTCGTGTGTGTCGCCCTGTTCGCGACGTTGCAGACGATTTCCGCCATTTTCCCGCGGTCCGTTTGATTTGGCTGCTGGTTGTGCGTGGGCCCCTCGCGGTTTCCCGCCCGGCTGGCCAGGCCGCGGCGGCACCGCTCGGCCCTCGGGGCGCCGTCGGGTGAAGTGTGCAGGTCGTCCACCCGCGCTGCAGTCGCGGTGGTGCACCCGTGTTCATGCTGCGGCGGGGCCGTGTTACGCTGTGCGAGACATTTCCGGCGCTTTTTCAGCGGCAGGTCCCGGTGGCCCGCCCGTCGGCTGACCACTCCGCCGTGCGTCTTCCGAGCGCCCGTTCCTCCCTCGTCGCGACTATCGTCGTTACATTCGGTCGGTGATCCCACGCTCCGGCACCACCTGGCATTCCTACGGAACTTAGCTAGAAAAGGTTAGTTAACGCGGGTAGTCCTTCCTCGACCCGAGTCGAGGCGCCATCCCTGACCTTCCCCTCGGCCGAGCTACCGTCTGGGCGGGGAACGCGACAAATGTCACGTCACAATACATACAAGGAATATTGTCGATTGAACAAAATATCGATTATAAGTCTCGATGCGACGGGAAGTGTCGTAAAAAAAATAGATCAAAAAGGTCGTAAAGGTCACATTTTCTTATACGCGCTGTTCTCCAAGCAAATTTGCACCAGCGCCGTTTTCCCGCTGCCAGTTTGGAAGTTGAACGGCCATTCCAGATCGAAACCTATCGGTATGATCTCCTTTTCGCTGCGCCTCATTTCTTGTAGGAGATCGTCGCAGATCTAGGCACAGTCGAAAAAGTCATCGGCGAACTGAATGCGTCTCTCGAAAACAATCGGAGGCAAAGTTTTTATGTCGGGCTCTCTTTCAAGTTTTGGTTGCTTCAACTTCTCCTTCAAATGCTGCGGCAAGTTCCGCGGCGAGCGACGCAATCCCACGGGTCCCTCAGGTCCCTCGGGCACTTCCTCCTTGCCGAGGCGGCCGGCACGTGTTGTCATCGCGAAGGGGGAGAAAAGGCGGCCGGACTCGTAGACTCCGAACGGATCCGCCGTACGGGAAAATCGGCCTCGGTGTTTGGAATCGCTTGTGGACGCGTGTTTTGTTCTGCCGCCGGGACCTCGACGGTGCCATGATGTCGCGTCGCTGGTTTCTCCAGAATCAATCGATTTCGACGGTACTACAATTGCTGTGCATTAGATGCTATCGGAGAGACACACCACTGAGTTCATCGAACTGTGGCTCAAGCAGTGGCTGCGAGAAGGTGCTCCCAAGTCAAGTCAAACTATGTGCGATTATTCGCGTGCGTTCTTGTGTGGCATCAGTCTGGCCTTCAATAACCAGACGATCAAATCGTACATCAATACTATGTTTAGTGCAATATCGAGAGTTGGAGTGACAATACGACCGGACACATTGATTCGAGTGGATGTAGCTCATCTGATCCATGCCGTGTGCAGTTGGAGTTGCTGGAAGTCGGTGCGTCAAACTTGCATCAAAAACTTCTTTGTTCGCTGCGTTGCTATAATGTTAGAATGCATAAAGTTTTACGATTTCTAAGAAATTTTTTATCTAACCTGTATTGTAGATCTTCAAACTCATCAAGACGTCGAAATCGTTTATTCGGAGGTGCAAACAGCGAAAAAAGCAAGAAAAAACTTGAAGATTACATAACAGTTTGTGGTATAAATATCGGCACGACTTTAAAGAGCTATTTAGAAGATGAGCTTAAACATCCGGAAGCGGAGCATATAAGCGAACCAAACGAATTGGACAAAAATAGCAGTTGCATTGATGACTGGGTCGACGGGCAAGTTGCAAAAACCGGGAAAATACGACAGGACGGTGAAGATCTGAATCCGTTTTATCTGTCGGAGTTTGTCAAGCTTCTTTTGATTCGGGCTAAAGAGTTCCCGCTCTGGACCAGCGTCGGAATGGTTTGTAGTACACCGCACGCAACTTCGAGTTACGTCGAAGGTTTCAATGATATTAAGACCAGAGTTTTGAAACATACTAACCGACCCATGCGCGTCGATAAATTTTTAATAATGCAAGCACGTGACATCGGTGGTGCAACTTCGCTTTTTTCATCAAAGATGATAAATTTCTATGCCAAACGATGTGTACCAAGCATCGAATCAAAGAGGAGCGTAGATATATCGTATTTGAGTAAGTTGCTTTCTGGTAATCGCGGAAAATGCATACATGTCTCATCCAAACGATCCGCTGATGTAAGGACTGAACCGAACATCAACAAAGAGAGAACGCCCTTCCATCAAGTATCATCGAGTAACAAGGAAGATAGAATCAAGAAATCTTCTAAGAAATCTATGCAACTACGGACGAAATACAACAAGATCGAAAATCTTGCTGAAACGGCATGGAACGATGTTGAAGCTTGCTGTAATGATTCAGACTTACTGGCTACGGAAAATTGGCGAGGAAAAGATAAAGCGGACAAGTTCGAGGGTAACGATTTATTCAACCTGAATGACGAAAACATATCGTGTTTTGTTGAATTGTCATCGAACGATATCGAAGCTCTCGTTAATGGTTTAACTTTAACGGCTGTCGAATATTCGCGAGAAGATTTTAAAACAAATAATCTTAATGGAAAAATTTCGAACAATTGCGATGTTTTCAAAAACTTGCCGGGATTGTCTACAGAACTCAACATTGCAAACGAGAATTTTGAACCAATGAATGCATCTGTGGTAGATCACTCCTATTGCACGACGAAAAAATCAACCGATTTGGCTAGCGATACGTTGAACTTGCAGAGCACTAATTACAGTGAATTTGAATTAAATATGAAAAGGCGACCAAAATCAAGCGCTCATACATCGCCTTATTTAATCATAAACTTCAGCGTGCATTGCGATACAAAATTGGCCGTTTCAGATAGCCCACCGATTAACATGTCCAGCGAAATCGAGTTGCATTTAGATCGGCCAACGTTCAGCGCTAAAGCATCATCACAGCTGGTCACAAAGTTAGACGAACGATCAAAGTTAGACGAACAACTGCGTAATCAGAACTCAGGACCCAAAAAAAATAAGTAAATTTTTTAGCGTATCCTGAAGTTTGACACAGAAATGCTCTTGTCGTACATAAGAAAAAGTCCACACTGCTACCACACGGTTCGCGTTGTCTACCTGTCAAAATAAAAAAAAATGGCGAAATAAAGTCATATTACGTAACTAATACGTGCGCCTTCGACGCACTACTCCACGTGCTCATGACGGCTGCAATTGACGACGTCAATTACTTCTACTTCCTGAAGGGATCCAAAAATTGTACACTCGTGTGCAATTTAATTGAGGCAGGAGCGACGAAAGCCGTGTTCCGCAAGATAGTTTTAATTTTTAAAAAC